ACTTTTAAAACAAAATTTTGACAGCGGTTATATACAAGAATGATTTTATTTTTACTTGATTCATCGCTTTAACAAGGGAAATATATGATAAAAAGAATGGTGTATTAAAATATAATTGAAGAGTGATTTATATACTGGATTCAGGTATCATATTAATTTTATAGTGGTAATGTATGATAATCAACTTATATACAGGATTTTTTGCTTAGTGCAATAACTGGTTAACTCCTATTAAATTTAGAAAGACTTAACTCATTACTGCACTAAGAGGATAAGTATTACTATGTAAAAGAATGATTTATTTACCTGATTCTAACACCAGACGATGACATATCTTCACCTAAAGCCTTCTGTATGGCACTATACTTGGCCTGTAACCTGGCTATACGATTGTTACTCAATGTATATGACCTAAATTTCTGTAAAACAAGAAAAGAATACTTTAGTATACACCAGTATTGTTAATTTGAAAGCCTAATTACATGTATTCATTTCTTCAATTTGATTTTTAATTTAAGCCAAGATAAGTACACAATATTTTGTTGATAATTATGTCTCCTCTATAGGTCTCTCAATCTACCGTAAAAGATTTAGGGGGTACAAAAAATCTTTTTAGTTGTATAGCTTTCTCATATGAAAGCACCAGCTGTGAAGACAGGCATAAAATTTTATGCAACTTTTTTTTTAGAACATAAACCCACATAGTAAAAGTCTGGTCAAATTGTGACTTCTGTTTAAGATATACCGGTAGTCAAAGCTGTGCTAGGATCCTAGACTTTAACAAGAAATGTGTCCAAATGACCCTGTTTTGTTAGTCTATGTACAGACAGCTGGACAGATGGAAAAGGGCTAATCTATATCCCCTTCCTCCCCCTCAAATGGGAGCTTAAAATGTTGCAGCCTACACAGATTACCCACACATTATTGTTAAGAAAATACGTCAAAGAATCCATTCACTAGTCATATAAATCTCATGACAGAAATTTAAGAAAATTTTATCATGACAATGATTATAATGGAACTTTATGGAAAATTTATATCATAATCATAATCTTACATGTAGATAATATCCTTCTGTCTCGAGCCTCTGTGCTCGTTTCTTGTCGCTCTCATGCGGAGACCTAGGTGGCGTGTTTTCGTCTGTAAACAAACTGGTTACATCTATATCTTTCCTATTAATCAATTCTGTAAGGGACTTCTCTGTAGCCTCAAGGGATTTCCATGTCTGAATAAAAACAAAATACAAATGAAGCTCAGATCATTAAGCTGTACCTACATGACCTTACTGGTAATAAAGTTACATTGTTATATAAAGATGAAAGTCAGTTTACTGGAAAAATCATACAGTCATGAATAAAACCAGTATTATTAAATAAATATAAAGTTATTCTTCAAAAGTGTTACACAACTTTATCTCAGAATAATTAATAGAAATAATAGAATCGTTTTGAGCATGAACAAACTCGGGTGCTGTGCCCCTCAGGTGTGGCCTTAACCTTGGTAACCTTGACCTTGACCCTGCGACTTCTAAATGAGTCTGCTGACAGTAACGAGCCAAGCCAACCTGCACATTCTGTGAAGTCTGTTAAGGCTACCGATATATACTGTTTGTAGCTTATTTTGTAAAAATCTTAACTTAAAATTTTTAACAATATCCAAAGCAGGGCAAACCCATTTTCAGGACACATGTTATTATGTTACCTCATCATTATCCAGTTTGAGCTGTTCTAGAACTTTCTGTGAGGATTTATAACTCTGTAATAACTGATCCTGTACGGGTTTCTGAGCACTGATTTGTCGGACCTGTAAAACAGTAACATTACATTTATCAACCTTTTTTAAAAATGAACTACATGTTTACATGCTTTAATGGTGGATGTGAAAACTGATTTCCTCTGAGCATTTTTTCAGGTTCAGGCTTGCACTTGATAAGAGTTATCCACCTTTAACAAGCTTGCTCGATAGCTTACTGGTGCCTACAGTATTGTTTGTAGGAAAATAATAAAAACAGCCCATTGCAAAATCAATTTACTCTTAGGTGAAAAGTAAAAAGCTATGTAAGTTTTTTTTTAAATAGAGTTCAAATGTTCAACACTGTCTAACATAAACTGCTGATTTTTCAAAAACGAACAACTGCTAGATTATAATAGTTTGCATACCTTTAAGCCTATAAAAGGCTCTAATTTTACACAATGTACTGCTAAAACTCGATTTTTATATGTTTGTTTTTGTTTCATTTCAAGTCACACCTACACTACAGAGGTCATATAGAAACTTTCCAGCTTCTCTGGTGGAGGAAGACATCAAATGCCCTTTCAAAAATTATTTCTGGCACAAACATGCGCCCGAGTAACCACAAACCTTTAATGACCTACTTGATAACTTCTTCACATGAAAGAATCTAAAGTCCGTGACAGGATTCAATAAATATATTATGTATATTTTTTGTTGAGTTATGACCTAGAGGTCATATGCTGACTTTTCAGCTTTACTGGTGGAATAAGACCTCAATTGCCCTTCTGTGCATTACTTCAGGTACAAATGGGCACCTGAGTAGAACCACCAACATTCCATAAGCTAGTTGGAAGAATTCAAAGTCCCTATTGGGATTTGAAACCACAGTGGTGAGGGACAAGTTGTTTGAAGTCAAAGTCTATAACCACTAGGCCACAGACGCCCCTATAAATATTACATTATCTGTTAATATGATTATCATAGAAGAACGTACCTCGTCACCCCGACACGACTGGAATTCAAATTTTTTCGGCAACATGAATGCTTGGTTATTGAGCTCAAGGAATCTTTGTTTGTCTGTTAACGGGTCCATTTGAGATATGACATCATTTAATGAATCTATAGCTGCCGTGTGCGAGTTACGCATGTTACAGTGAGCAGTCTGATATATCATCACCGTTCCACGTATAGAATTATGATAACCAAAATCCATACACTGAAAATATATACGTAAATATATTTATAAATCATATTAGAATTGTCTTCATCAAAAGTAAATTTATCAGACTTATTAAAACATACTAATAAGCATTTCATATTTCATCATGAAATTCTTTGGTAATTTGGCTTCTGCTGACACTCAATTTTCTCCTAATTTACCTAAAAACATAAGTCAATAGTTCCTAAATTGGGCAGACCAATACTTGTTGTAAAAGTATGGATAAAAGCCCTTGTTGATTTAATGACTGCTTTGTATCTGGGGCCCCGTAGCTTATTCTAAATACATTGTACATTTGTATCTACTCCCAGAACCATATGGTTGAATTTTCAAATATCATTTGTTTTTGTTTTCTATGAGCTGGTCTCTATAATGTAGGCTGTTAATTGTTACAAATGTAAACAGTAGACGAAAAATACTTCTCCAATCATTTAACACATGCTATTCTCCTTCAAATCCTGAAAACACTTCAGTCATTGAGTCGAAAGATTTACAGGCAGTCAGACTGAGGCATATTGAATGTTCATGATAATTTTTATAATAAACAGCCGGAAAGAAATTTTTCACCAACCCTCTTCTAAACCATCCCTCTTTTGTAAAAAAATACACATATTTACATAAAGTATGTTAACAATCACACCTGCTGCAGAGGAACATTCACACAATACAGTTATGCATATGACAGGTGTTAATAAGTAATTAAAAGATTCCCCTGCATCAATATACCTCTCTTGTAAAGGCAAACTGGTTTATTCTAAATACAGTGAAACCTCCACACAGTGGCCCTCTGTAGAACAACTAACTCTGTACAACAAAAGTTCATTTTTTTCCAACAGTACAAGTTCACAAATAAATCTAACCTCTCTAGAGCAAACACAACTCAGCAACAACCAAGATCTTGGCCTCTCAAAGGGTGTTGCTTTACAGGGGTTTTACTATATTACTGTATCTCCAAGTAAGAAACATGTTGAATAAATTCATGCTCAAGAAAATCACAAGTTCACAAAACAGCAATATGTTCAGCATCAACTTATATCTGCAGATAATCTTTTCTTATTTTAGTTTTTTGATAAAAACGAAAATAAAACAAGGAGTAAAACTGCAAACTTTCCTTGAAATGCCTAACAATTTTCGAGATAAAATAAACAATTTTCAAATTCCTGCAAATATTTTCTAGAGATTTTATATTTTGGCATTGCTGATATTTTGTATTTTGTAACATAAGTTCAACATTTTATTAAACAGTCTAATTTTGACATCTGGAACAGCTGATTATTCATTAAGGGGATACTGACTATGAGAAGACTGATCTTAATCAGCAAAATATTCAAATGTCTGCTGCAGAGTGACCAAACCAATGAGTCAATGAGGTGATTTTGTTAATGCACTAAAACTATTGGGAAATATTCCAACTCTGTGAGTGCACAAAGTGCAGTTAACTAATTAACAGTCCACACAGGGAAGGGCTTTACAAATAGTTGAAAATCTAAGTCAAATGTCCCCCCCCCCCTTCCAGTATTCCCTGGGGCGGGTTTACAATTAGCGGGTACTTTAAACTGTACTGTTGTTATTCAAATTGGAAATTAAAATGATAATCATCAGAATCAAGTTCTTTTAATTACATGACCATCATTTTGGAGGTGTAGTCTTTGTTTCAGGACAGGTTTGACTATAACACAACTAATACATAAAGTCTATGTTAAACACATTAAAATACTTACATCCATTAAATCAGAGACATCGTCTGAGAAGTATTTATTTATAGCTGCATTGGCGACCTCTATATTCAACAAATATTCATTCCTAGCATGTAATGCTTTTAATTTGTTCACGGAGTATTTATCTTGTTTCTGTAAAAAATAAAAATAGACAAGTACAGAAAACATGTTAAAGAATGAACTGTAAGAATTTTTCTATAAATACATGTACATGTACAATACAGGTATTGCATAAATGAAACTACCCAAGACTAGAACAAAAGGATATAGCCTTCAAACATGTACATTTTCTTGAATTGCAATATTATATTCCTGACATTATTAAGAACCCCTTCTGGCCTTCCCCACTACCCCCTGCTTACCCCGCCTACCCCTCTCGGTTTAAGAGTAGTATCTTCAATTATCAAACATCTCGGAGCAAGTTCCAGTATAATTTAGTACTTAGTTCCCAGTTTTTGCAGACATACAGGGCTGTATACAGTGTCTATTCTAGGATTTCAAAATTAGGGGTGATTTTCCCCCCTCTATTTCAAAAAAGGGGGCGATTTTCAAAATCAAGGGGTGCCCATGTAAACTGCCAATGTTAAATCGTCTGCATTAAGTTTAAACTGAGGTGTTCAATCGATAAAATAATTAAAACTAAGGCAGCAGAAAATAGATAAATAAAGAATCCCTAAAGAAAGCCCAACACGGCAAAATTGAAAATGTTGCAGGCTCGGTTTGATTGAGCCTGTTCATGGACGGTATTGGAAAATGCAAATTACCGTCCACGCCCCATAGCACCGGCTTAAGCAGAATTCAACATTTAAACATGAAATGGTAGAATTTTGAATCTAGAAACATCCGCAGATGTGTTCATACGGCGGTTATCATGGAACCTTTAATGTGACACTTCCCTGCCATTCCATGAAAAGCGGCGTATGGTCCCCAAGTAATAAAAAGCGTGTGCCCTAAACGAGAAAACAATGGGCGGAACTAAATAAAATAGAATTTTGAAAGGGGATCAGAGGTTATGAAGCCTGCGTATCACAGATAAGAAGTCAAAAGACAAATTTAAAAAGCAGGCAACATATCCTAAAGGTGATTCAACATTATTCAAGTAGGAATATTGGAACCACCCAACTAGAAAATGCCGAAAAGTTGAAACTAAAAGTACCACAAGCACAACAATAATGTCGTGCTGAACGATCTTCAAGGATCGAAAATATAACATCATTGATTAAAAGTACGGGGAGACTTTTTACAGCCGCCACACGGCACAAATAACACGGATGTGATCATAAAATAGATAAATAAAGAATCCCTAAAGAAAGCCCAACACGGCAAAATTGAAAATGTTGCAGGCTCGGTTTGATTGAGCCTATTCATGGACGGTATTGGAAAATGCAAATTACCGTCCACGCCCCCTAGCACCGGCTTAAGCAGAATTCAACATTTAAACATGAAATGGTAGAATTTTGAATCTAGAAACATCCGCAGATGTGTTCATACGGCGGTTATCATGGAACATTCAATGTGACACTTCCGTGCCATTCCATGAAAAGCGGCGTATGGTCCCCAAGTAATAAAAAGCGTGTGCCCTAAACGAGAAAACAATGGGCGGAACTAAATAAAATAGAATTTTGAAAGGGGTTCAGAGGTTATGAAGCCTGCGTATCACAGATAAGAAGTCAAAAGACAAATTTAAAAAGCAGGCAACATATCCTAAGGGTGATTCAACATTATTCAAGTAGGAATATTGGAACCACCCAACTAGAAAATGCCGAAAAGTTGAAACTAAAAGTACCACAAGCACAACAATAATGTCGTGCTGAACGATCTTCAAGGATCGAAAATATAACATCATTGATTAAATGTACGGGGAGACTTTTTACAGCCGCCACACGGCACAAATAACAGAAGTTGTGCCCCCTTAATTTTTTTACGAAAACAAATCATTATAGAACTGTCGCGATTGAGGGATTGACAATACAAAAAAAAGACCTATCTTTCACGTTTAGAGCGTAGCCAAGCTAGGAATTGTCTCATTTTTATGCCCCCACAATGTGGGAGCATATAGCGTTGCACTTGTCCGTCAGTCCATCTGTCAATCAGTCCATCCGCACTCACAGGAGAGTAATCATGTGGCTAGAGGGACAATAGGTAACTGTTCTTTCTCTTTGATGTCATTTATTCCGTAATGCTTTTATGTGGCTATTTTCTTTTGCGTGGCTAAAAAGAACAATAGAGAGAACAATAGAGTAGCCACATAATTACTCTCCTGTTAGAACGTCCGTCCGTCCGTCCGTCCCGAAATCTTGTGAACGCAACTCCTCTTAAACCGGTTGGCAGATTTTGCTTAAACTTACAGGGATGAACAACCTTAATGTGTAAATGGTAGTAAAGGAAGGAATTTTCGCTGCGACCAAATTTAACAGAATTATGGCCCTTTGTTGATTTTTTCACTAGATACTATGTAGAAATTTTGTGAACGCAACTCCTCTTTAACTGGATGGCAGATTTTGCTTAAACTTACAGGGATGAACAACTTTCAGGTGTAGATGATAGTAAAGGAAGGAATTTTTGCTGCGACCAAATTTTACAGAATTATGGCCCTTTGTTGATTTTTTCACTATATACTATGTAGAAATTTTGTGAATGCAACTCCTCTTAAACCGGATGGCAGATTTTGCTTAAACTTCCAGGGATGAACAACCTTAATGTGTAGATGGCAGTAAAGAAAGGAATTTTTGCTGCAACCAAATTTAACAGAATTATGGCCCTTTTTTTATTTTTTCATTATATACTATGTAGAAATTTTGTGAACGCAACTCCTCTTAAACCGGATGGCAGATTTTGCTTAAACTTCCAGGGATTAACAACCTTAATGTGTAGATGGTAGTAAAGGAAGGAATTTTTGCTGCGACCAAATTTAACAGAATTATGGCCCTTTGTTGATTTTTAGTTTTCAACTTGTGTCACATGTAGTCCAAAAAATATTTGACCTAGAGTCATAAGATTGACAGAACAGTGGCGTGTGGGGGCATCCGTGTCCTATGGACACATTTCTAGTTCTTGATTATTTTCTACACTAAAATGGCGCCCAACTGTCAGACCAGTAGCAAACTAGTTCCGGCCAGTAAGGAACATTCTGTTAATTTCCGTCAACTCAAGTAACCCGTACAATACGGTACTAAATTATTATAATTAGCTTACAATTACTTCCCTTCAGTTTCCGGTGTAAATGTAAACAAAGCAACCAAATATAATGCAGAATGGAAGTTTAACGATTTTATAAACATTTTTTATAGATGCGCGATTTTCACGCACATGATTTTGAATTGTGCGCAATCTGTGAAATACTAGCGTGAATCGCGTAATCGCGCGTCCTAGAATAGACACTGGTATAGCCTAGCCACGTCCCTGTTGATCCCCTGGAATAGCAGGCATAGATCAGGTCATCACCAGTGGTGATCCAGCCAATACCAGTATCATTTAGTTATATCCTAAAGTTACAGAGTACTGCACCAGCTTCAGTTTGCTGTTTCTGAATATTATTTCTGATCACCCTCACTTGAACATGTATTTAGCATTTTCAAATAACAATGGCTGTTCCATGAATTGAGCTAGATCTAAAAGATCCTCGTCTAGAATTGTCCTGGATGTTTAAAGTAATTTTTATGATACTGTAAGAAAGACAAACAGCAGACAACAGTCTCGACTCTTCAAAAATAAAAACATAAACAAACAAGCAATTATCATAGTATTGCAAGCAATCCATAAGTCCCCTACCGGTAAGAGCCCAAGCAACATTCTGAAGGGCCATTGGCCATTCACTTATGTTCCTATTTTAAGTAAATTTGTTAAAAAAGTTATTTAAAAGTAATCACAGGAAACAGTTTTTATGTACAGACAGACAGACTGAAGGACACTCTAAAGTTATTTTTTAAACATCCCTATTATCAAAATATAACATTTTTAAAATCCTATCATGATTGAAGAAGTTGGAGTAAAAATTACCAATTTCTCAAAAAAAAGTCTAAGTTCAAAAGGGGCATAATTCTGGAAATAGTCTTGCTAGAGTATTGAACACACACAAATGTTGAGTGATAATAAGAAACATTTATATGAAGTTTGAAGTAGATACATTCAAAAAAAGAAGTTATTAAAAAAAAACAAGGTTTTTTTTCCTGAAAATTTTAAGTTCAAGGGAGATAATTCTGATAAATTTTGTGCTAGAGTTGTAAACCTTGTCACATATGATGTGGTTGATGACAAGCAACTTATATTTAAAGTTTGAAGAAAATACCTTTAGAAATAAAGAACTTATAGTGAAAAAACTTAAAAACTAGAATAAGAAATCTTGAAATTCAGTCTATTTGTTACCATAGCAACCAGAATTTTCAACATAGGAAGATAAGAAAAGGATGTGCATAATTTCCATACTGCCATCTACCCATATGTCAAGTTTCATAAAAATATTTTCAGTACTTTTTGTGTTATCACTGGATCCAGGTTATGTGTAAAATTTGCCATATTTTCAGTCTATTTGTTGCCATAGCAACCAGAATTTTCAACATAGGAAGAAAAGAAAAAAATGTGCATAATCTCCATACTGCCATCTATCCATATATCAAGTTTCATTAAAATATTTTCAGTACTTTTTGCGTTATCGCGGGATCCAGTTTTGTGGACGGACGGACTGACGGACGGACAGACGGACGGACGGACGGACAGACAGACAGACGGACAGACGGACGGAGGGTAAACCTAAAGTCCCCTCCGGTAAACCGCTTAATTAATTTTGTTTTCCACTCCATAAAATCTCTTGGTTTAAACATATAAACAGAGTTACCTAGAATAAACCTCTTAGCTTTAACAGAGTTCATTCTCGGTACACATTATCCTGTTACAGACAAACAAAAATATACAAGTGCAGAAAAACATTCTTAAAATCAATTTTTACTTTAGATGCTATATGAAAACACAGAGAAAAGAACCAGCTGTGAAGATGAACTTCTGCTTCCCTTCATCTTCTTTTTGTTAACCTTTATGTATTGGACATGCAATGTTTTGAAACTGAATCTGTCTATTGCTTATTAAAACTATGGTCTTATGCAGCAAGCAATACAGTTTAAAGGAGGTTGGCTGTGGCCTCTATATGGATGACATTAGTCAAAAACAGATGACATTAATCATGTCAATATGATCACTTGTAGATGACATTAATCATGTCAATAAGATTGCTTGTAGATGACATTAATCATGTCAATATGATTGCTTGTAGATGACATTAATCATGTCAATATGATTGCTTGTAGACGACATTAATCATGTCAATATGATTGCTTGTAGATGACATTAATCATGTCAATATGATTGCTTGTAGACGACATTAATCATGTCAATATGATTGCTTGTAGATGACATTAATCATGTCAATATGATTGCTTGTAGATGGCATTAATCATGTCAATATGATTGCTTGTAGATGACATTTAGGACACCAATATAGTTTTCAGTGGATGTTATAAGATATGCCTATACAGACTTTAGTAGACATTAGGGAGTAATATTATGCTGAGTCATTGCTCTGACATTTCATGCAGCATCATAAAATCACATGAGAACTCATTTATTTTCTAAGGAATAACAAATGGTCAATTATATCACAATTCAAATGCACACAAATAGACATCTATAAAGATCAAAATATATTCTGTATCAAATAAAATACTAATATAGTATAGCTGCTATTTATCTTGACAAAATAAATTACTTTTTAAGGAAGTAGCATTAGGTAATTGTGAGTAAATATTTCTATTACTAATATTATTCTAGGGAATCAGTTATATAGGTTGATAACCGTATTTCTTAAACTGGAACATCATCTATTTATACACTGGACAGAGTTCATACAATCTACAAATGCCAAAATACATGTACCCCTCATATGGAAAATTTATACTGTTGCCCGAACTAACTTTAAATTTTCATCTTGATATTCCTAAAATTGATAACGGACAGCTCCAAAACTGGAATCACCGCAAGTCGGCAGGTACTAGATTAACTATTCTAACATTTGATGTAAATTGACATTTACCTCATCTTCTAATTTTTCAATCTTCTTGAACTTTCGGCTTCCCGACAAGGATTTTCCCGAGAGCTGTTGTTCCACCTTCGCCTTTTGTGACTGGACCTTCTTCAGAGCCTCTTCGGCTTGCTTACTCTCCATCTGATATTGATGATATGTCTTCATCGCCTGAAATATACATGTAGAAATGTCAGACAAATATTTTGCTTATAAAACCTGAGTTTGGATGAAGGTTCCATAATCAACACGGTTATGAACACATCTGCAGATTTTTCAAATTCTAAAATTCACCATGATAGTGTGTTAATGTTGAATAAGCCATTGTTGGGGAGGGTGGGGGAGGGAGTAGCTTACATTATGCAATAAGGCTTACATTAAATAATAATGTTGATGAACAGGTTCAATCAAACCGATCCTGCAATATTTTCAAGTTTTCGGGCGTTCCTTAGTGACTTTGTTTTTTTCTTTTTATTTTAATATGGAACAATTCTTTTGTTTTTATTATCTTTTGTTGCAGTAGATGACCACAACACCTTATTCTTTATCAAATAAATAAAGTCCAATATTCACTCAGCAGCAAGTACATGTACATGCATTTTGTTGTATATCCTACTTTTAAATAATCAAACCAAAATTATCATTATCAGAATAAACTTTGAAATAACTTTCATTTAGAAATACAGACTTAGGAATTTTCAAATTTAGATCAAGGACTAGGCTAAAATATTCTCAGAATTAACCTACAATAAATCATTGTGTGTGTTTTATATTGCAGCAACCTGATAAGAAAGGAACAAAAATCAAACAAAAATTGTTGCAATGCACTTTTTTGCTTTCTTCGCATACACAACTGGCATGAAAATTCTTAAAATCTTTCCAGAACATCTTTTTTCAATACTTGATGAATAAACATGACAAGATTTTTTTGTCACTCACAGATCCTTTTAGAATATTTCAAGAGAAGGTTGCTTATTTCCCAGAGAACATAAATATGATCATCAATAATTTGTTTCTCTATTAAAAAACACAAAAATCTTAGCATAAAATGAAAGTAACCAAAATTTTACTAAGAACATTTGTTTTCAATTTGATTTCACTATATTAAGGACCTCATACAATTTTTTGAATTTTGGAAAACTTTTGAATTGTACTTATTACTTTTTTTTTTTGTGGGGCTAACTTTTGGAAAAAGCCGCTTTTAAAAAGGGGACATTTAAAATTCAGGGCAAAAAAAATAATGGTGAACCCCAAAAAATATAAAAATTTTGATCTTATGTACTCAAAAATTCACGCTAAAAATGAACTTTCTTTGATGTTTCAGCATGATTTTCTGTTTAAATTTATATGTATTTTGGGTTTTAAAGTAAATAATCTACAGATGTAACAAAATTTTTTACAAAGTTTAATACAAGTCAGGTGACATTGAACAAACCCTTGAAGTTACAATAACAATATTAGTGGTTTGAACATTTCAGTCATTCATGACATTTCTTTAAGGTTTCCAGAGTTCATTTCTGATTGTGAAAATGCTATGTCTACCTGATCAACGCGGGTCAAGTTAGGAAACTATCATTTTATTTCTTTATTTGGAGGAAGTTTTGTTTTTGGACTGTCTAATATATTCATTTTAGGCATTTACAGAATATTGCAAAAAAACATTTTAAAATTGAATGGTTTGGGGGGGAGGTCCAACTTAACCCAAAAGCCATGAAGGCTATGTGGAAGAAAAACTGGACTCAAATAACCAACCCGACATCGAAAAGCAAATTAGCAATCATTCAATTTTGTCTTTTAAAAAACTGTTTACAAGCTGACTTCATAAGGAAATGATTTTGAACAAGACATTATTATATACACATAAACAACAAAACATTAGAATTACATAACAACACAAGAAATATGAAAGTTTTGCTGACAAAACCACATCATAAAAGGGACTTAATAATTTGATGTTTATTACAGCAGCAAATCATACAGGGGTGGATATAATCTACTGTTTGATCTTACATTTTAAAAAAACAAGGTTCCCCACAAAGCCTTCCCAGTTTCTATTGATGATATAACACGAGGACTTGAACACTGTATTACAAAGTTCTATAAGAAATCAAAATACTTTTTCAAGATTTTTTTTTCTTGCCATTCAACATTTACATTCACCATCTGTAGTTTATAAACTAAATGAAACATTTTTTCTTTCATTAAGAACATTCGGCATGTGAAACTTAGGTTTGCAGTATACTGAAGTATATTTTCTTTTGTATTTATTGATCATTTTGCATTTCATTAAAAATTTAGGGTGTACCTACATTTGATACATACAAAATTTAAAAATAATGTTGGACACATTTTTAACATTTAGGAGTTTAATTAGGAGATTTGGACAGATTTAACCTTCTGTAGTTCATAAATAAATTTTTGGACACAATCATTTACCTTTGGAGTTCATATGGAGATTTTGGGAACATTTACCTTTTAAGTATAGTTAATTAGGAGATTTTGAACACATTTACCTTTTGTAGTTCATAAGGAGATTTTGGACCACATTTCTTTTGTAGTTATAAAGGAGATTTGGACACATTTACCTTTTGTAGTTCATAAGGAGTTTTGGACCACATTTACCTTTTGTAGTTCATAAGGAATTTTGACACATTTACCTTTTGTAGTTCATAAGGAAAATTTTTGAACACATTTAAAACCTTTTGTAGTTCATAAGGAAAATTGACACATATTACCTTTTTGACTTCTAAAAGGGGATTTTTTACACTTTACCTTAATAGTAAAATTTGGAGATTTTTCAATTTACCTTTTGGAATTATTTTCAAATTTTGGCACATTTTTTCCTTTTTCTTTTAAATTTGGGAAATTTGCTTATATTAAACCTTTTGTGTTATATAGGTTTTTTTTAAACACCCTTTTTTTTTTGTAGTCATAAAAAAAACTTTTTGGATATATTTACCTTTTGTAGTTATACAGAAATTTTTAGCTATCTTTATGGGTTCTCCCCATTCTCTCAAAATGGAAAAAAAGAAAACAATCTTTAGACCAAAATGAGCCTTTTTCAGCCAAAAGAAGAAAATTTTTTTAAATAGAATATAATCATAACTGACTGGCCCCATATAATACCTTTTTTTTCCCCAAAATTGTTCTATTAAATTTTTCTTTCGCCTCCTAGCCCAGGCCTATTAAAATTTATCTGAAATCTAAAAATACCACATTGCATCATCTCATTTAATTGTATCATTATATTGTTTTACAATTTTTAATAGCAGAGTAATAAAATTCAGAAACATAAGGTAGTTATACAGATATTGACAAAAAAAGCCCTGTCTCTTGTGTAACCTAGATAAATATGTCATCATCAATATCCATATAAAACATACAGAAAAAAATATCCTACAAGGCACTGATCAATACCTGACAGACATTTCCAATGCGATTATATTCCCTGAAAGTCTGTCGAATTAATTTTGTTTTGGTTAACATTTTTATCTTGAAGGAAATTTTTTGCGGGAAAATTTATTGAGGAAAATATATTTATATATAATTCTCATTTTAATTATTTGTCAATTGGTTTCTATAATTTTTTGTGCAAAGTTGCTGAAAAAAGACAAAAAACCCGATTTTACCAAAAACTGAATTTTCCCTCTCCTCCAATATTTTTTTAAAAATTGTCACGCCCAGTGGTTAAGGTGTCTTTCCCTCTAACCCCGGGTATGGGTTAAAACCTACTCGGGTTTCCACCATGTTTTTCTATGACCCAGTACAGGTTGGGTTTTAGAAAGGATCAAGTGTTAAAATTTTTTTCGCCAGGGCTTGAATTTTTAAAAAGAGGGTAGATACCAAATGTAAGGTTAAAACTGATAAATTAAATTTTTAAATTCTTGAAATAAAATTTTACCAAAAAGGGCCATTGAGCTTAAATTTTTACCTTTTTAAATATTCGTTTAGATTTTCTTGTACTCTGATAAACGGGTTTTAAACATGGGGCCCAAAAATTTTTGCGAGTATTCCTGGTCTGACTCTGTTACGTGTTATTTCCAAAAATTGTACCAACAATTGAAAATGCTGAATTTGTCCAATGTTCTCGTCTGAAATAAACAAATTCCCGATTTATTGGTAAAGTTAACAACCCCCATAGCCCCAGATTTTCTTTTAAAAAGTTTGGTTAGAAAAGAGAAAAATTCTTTACCAAAAATTTAAAATTCTGCATTAAAAAATTAAAAGAATCAGCCTGTCCTCAAAACCCGATATGTGTTCCCAAATTTCCAAAGACAGGTATTGTTTTTTTTGTTGTTTTTTTCACAATGTTTATTTACCTAAAAAATGCTTTTTCTAGTCTCAAATATTTTGACGGCCCCTTGGACAGGATTTTACAAAACTGATATTAATTAGATGTTGGTCTTAATTAGGGCGATCATTGTCTATATAATAAAAAGCCCGGCGCACAATTTGTTGATGATAACTTTTTTGTCATTACAGCATTTAATAAGCGTCCTTTTTTACCCTAACATTTCTAAAATTGCGCTTATATAAAAATAGCATTAAAGCCGCTATTAAATGTTAGCGTTACACTATAGACGCGTCATTGAAAAATTACTCATTTAAACAAATTTACTGTTCTTATTTTGTATATGTGATAAAAAGAATATTATTATTCGTGTAGATTCAATACAAATTTAATTGAACTCCTTGAAAACAACAATATTATGTCGCCAGAGGCTCGCATAATGATGATTTTTTATTACAACTCCTTTCAATAAATTTATTTTAAAATCTACTCTCATTCAATATCCTCTATATATTTTTATTGAAACGGGTCGGGAAAATTTTGTTAATTAGGGGGATTTTTAGATTTGACCCTTATGGATCAATTTCAAAACCGTTAAAGATTTTCGATTTTTAAAAAAGAAATTTTTTTAAATTCTTTAAAATTTTGTCAGCCCAAATATATCTTTATTACAAAAATTTAACAATAAACAAAAATTTTTTTTAAAAACAAAACAATTGATTTGGAACCCCCCCATTCCAATTTTTCCCCCAAAAATTTTAAATTTTTTGAAACTGTTTCTCATTAACGTTTCCCGAATTTTTTTCCTATGTGATGTTTCTCCCCCCTAATTTTTTCCATCAAAATGTTTTGGTGTATTTCTTTATCCCTTGTGCGTTTATATTGTACAATAAACCAGCATTTGTATTTGGCTTAATTCTGTTACAAAATTGTATAAATTGAATAGATACAACATGATGTAATAACCCCTTAATCTCCAACAACTCTCTTTAATGGACTTCTGGGCTCACAGGGGCTAAATTACCCAGCACCAGTGCTGCCCAAAAAAACTGGACTCCAATTTCAAAATAAAAAGGAGTCTCTATGGCCCCCAAATGTTTTAATGAATTTTCCCAAAAAAGATTTATGGTTTTTTCCATTTAAGGTTTTACAAGATAAGGGGGTAATTTCTTAAATTTTAAAAAGTTCGTATCAAATTTTTGGGTATCTGAAAATTTTTTAGCCAACAGTAAGTCATGGTCAGATGCTTTAATGTATAGACCTCCATACAAAAGGTGGTACTGTTTTTTCAATTGGATCTTTTCAGTATCAAAAAGGATTTAAAGTGAATTTTTTTTTTTGAAATTTTCATGTTTTATATTATATTTTTCAAATTTGTTAAATCATCAGAAAAGAAAGGTAAAACGAAAAATTTAAAAGCATAAATTTTGTGATATCCTTATGCATTATAATTTTGTTCACTTCTAATTTAATAACCAAACCCCTAAATTTATGCACCTTTCCAATCACTTTTTCTACCACAGAGATTCCCCTTTTGAACAATATAATTCATCATTTTTAAAAGATCTATTTCAGTCAGATGTAATTCGGTTTTTCATCGCATCAACTGTTAACTCTTTACTGGCAGTTTTTTTTTAAAAATAAAAAAGACAAGTCTGGTGGCAGGTGACTGATTTAATTTGTTTGCCTAACGGGATTTTATGTTTTAAAGATAGAGCTTTAAAACCCAAATTTAAAAATTATAGCGAGGAAATAAAAAAATGCTTTTTTTGTCCTGTTTTTTCAATTAACCCCAACCGTCCAAAAATTTGATGGTTTTGGGTAATTTCATAATACGTAAATTTCTGGGTTTACAAGTAAATTTCGTATCAAACAAAATCTTTGTATAGACTGAAACAAAATGGATTTCCCCTGCAGCCCCATTGAATTTTAAGTAAATCAAAAATTGAGTTCAACAGTTACGACTGCACAGATTGAAGGCGGGGCCTGATCTTACGGGTGGCATATAGGTTTAAATCACTTTTTGGTTTACAGCAATTTTCCCCCTTAAAGTCAGAAAGGGGACATGCAAGCTGGATGGTTTAAAGACTGACTTCATTATTAATATTTAAGACCCAATTGTAAAAATTCAATTTGGGAAAATTTTTGAACATCATTTTTAAAAAAAAATTTACAGCTTTTTTTTACCCTAAATACTCTTTGGGGTTTAAATATTTAAAGGATTAAGCAAAGCCAAATGCTTTGGTATATACCACATGAACATTGAATAGAGTTGAAGCTGTTAATGTTGCTGAAGATTATTTTAAAAGGTTTAGAGATGTCAGCCCCGAAATTTTAACACAATGGCAGTGAAAAACAAAAATTAAAATTTTCTTTTTCAACAATTTTTAAACCCTCTTGTTTTATCAATTTTTCTTTTTCCAAAGGGGTCATTTTACATTTAATTTTTTTGCCAAAATAATGATTTTTTGTTTGGTGAGTAAATGCATTTTTAACTTCCTTTTGTTTTTCAAGAAATAAATAAAATTTGAATTGTTATTTTGCGGGGGGAAAAGGGGTGCTATTCATTAAATTTAAATGTTTTAGAGACTCCAAAAAATTATAGTGATTTTTTTTTTAAAATGGGTGTAAAACTAAAAGTTTAATGGCCCTTTTTTTAAAACTGCCCCCTTTTGTTTTTGATAAGAAAGGGTATAAAATTTAAAAGTGCTGATTTTTTTCCCATGAAAAACAACAACGAGGGGATCACAAAAAACTAAAGACTTTTCTTTAAAACAAACAGCAACCCTAAAAATAAAGCTTGGGGCAGGGGGTTGAACGTATAGGGGTCCCGGTTATTTCCTTTTAAAAGCGGGGTTTAAATTTTCACGCGTTTCGCCCTAATGGGGGACGGGGAGCAAAAACAAAAGTGGGTATGAGCATTTTTTTTTCCCAATATTTTTTGTCTTTTTGAAAATTTTTTGAAAAAATAGCATTGTGCTTTGCTAAATCAGAATTATAATTGTGATGATTGTCAAAAAAAAATAAAAAATTTTTTCAGAAGGGAGGAGTTATTGAAGTATTTTTTTCCTGAAAAATTAAACGTCAACCTGATACGCACTTTAAAAAGGGAAAATTTATCAGTCTTTTTTTAAACGAGTTTCGATTGTTTAAGTCCCCCAATTTTTGAAAAAAAAACGAATAAAAGGGAGTTTTTTCCCTTTATTTGTCCGAAATATATAAAATTTTTTC